CAATACGTAATTTTCTAGATTATAAGTAGATCTCAACTTACTGTTGAGTTGTTGTTTCCTTCATTACGTTTTATTTCTAACGTTATTCCCAAGAACTTTGGCATCTTACTTTTAAGACACCCCAAAAATCTTGCCACTACGATGTTCTAAAATAATATTAAATTTACGTAATGAGGTTACATCAATCTAAATATATGTGTTCTCGATATATTATATGTTCAGTTACCTCGGCCGGCTTTGGCATCGGAGTAATAATTGGAAAATGCGAAGTCAAACATATCGCCGGATAAGTTAATGGCTCGCCGCGCCAAAACCGTACTGAATAATAAGGCGGTTCTTCTTCTGGTAAACGATATCCGTGCTTAAAAATTATAAAACATTTTTATTGCTTCCTTAAAAATAATAATAAAGGGTAATATTCCATTAGCACTTGGTGTTTTTACCTGACAAAAAATGAGGTAGAGATAAATCACTAATGAACTAATCTACAAGCAGAATTCTCCGGTCGCTTATAGTTTTCGAGATAAAAAATATTTAAAACTTGTTATTTTCACTAAGATTTACGCATCAAAAATCAAAAAATCGGCTCTCCATTTATTAGTATAGATGTGAGAGATGATACAGAACGTATATGAGAGCAATAAATCTCAATTCCGTCTGTATTTTCAGCTGCTCTTTTTTGCCGCGTCCCTAAAAATCGACATTGGCCCAATGCAATTTAACCAACTTCAAAAGGTGGAGGTTCTCAATTCGACTGTATTTTTTATGTTTGTTACCTCAGAAATATAGACCGTGTGGACCGATTTTGATGATTCTTTTTTTTTTTTTTTTTATGTGAAAAGTTGCCTAACGAGCAGACGGTCCACCTGATGTCAAGTGAATACCGCCGCCCATAGACATCTGCTACACCTGAGGGTTTGCAGATGCGTTGACAACCTTTTTGGAAATTGGGCTCCGGCTACCTCACTCACCAGACGAAACGCGAAAGTATTTGTCATACTTCCACTTTACGCCGGTCTTCTGTGAGGTCGTGGTACTTACCCGGACGAGCCTGCCCATTCGTGCAACAGCCGAGGCTGCTGCGTGGCTCTACCACCCGTTCTTTTTTATTTGAAAGCTGGTGCTTCCCATGTGGTCTCATATTAATTTAACTCCTTTGGATCTTGGGCTCTGGAGATACTTAGAGAACTTCTAAAAATCAATTATAAAATGAATACGGAGCGAGATATTTGAAATCGGAATAAAAATAGACTTGTTTCTTGAGAGAAGCTGGCAATTGAGAGAGCTGGCGGTTCACGGTGAAGTTTATTGATTTTATTTTTTTATAAAACCTTTCACTATCATTACAGGTACTTAACCTAATCCAATATTGAAGCAATATACACAAGGAAAACAATATCCACTACGAATTAACTATGCAATCTTTTTGAACTCACTCGGAGAACACAGGAATAAATCTGCATCCCTAGCAATAATATTTAATAGTTAACCAAACACCAAGTCCTCAAGACAACCGTTTCGTGATCACTTAATAGGTGTTTTATTCTTCGAACGGCTTATGGTTTTACCATACCAATATCAAAGCGATTACCGGCCTACCGCTTTAGCTAATAATTAATAAATAATATTTGTACATGAAACAGTATGGAGTGTATCCTCTTTACCCGTTGATGTACTGTAATGTTGAGTGATAACCGCCGCCCATGGACATTTGCAATACCCGTAGGGTAGCAGATGCATTGCCATCTTGCAATAATTTTGCCCCGGCTACCTCACTGACCACGCAGAAGTATGGGGTCATGGTACTTTCCCAGGCGGACCTGCCGATTCGTGCAAAAGCGACCGTTGCGTGGCCTTACACAGTCAGTGTTTGGATTAGCCCGCAACAACTCTGCACCCGAAATCCGAGGTTACCGCGCGTAAGGGATGCACGGCGTAGGTAAGTATTGTTGAAAACGCGTTAATGCATGCCATGGCTTAGCTCGAGACCAAAGATGATGAATGCACGATAATGTTTCTAAACCCTTGCTGCAAAATTAATCGCAAATAATGCAACTTTCCTTTTAGCTTCAATATAACCTGAAAACATAGGTAAACGTTATACTATAGGTCATACGATTGGGTTGTGGTCTGTTTTGCGTTTTACAAAAACTAACCGAGTTCTTATTTAAGTTCATTCGTCATTTTATCACCTACCAAACGTCAATCACGTTTTTAGAAATAATGAAGAAAAATTTATTGAAGACTAACTGTGATATATGTATTATTGCCTCAGGTTAGAAGTTTTTCATTGAAGTTTTTTTTTTATAATGAGTCATCTACAGCATAGTAGTTTTACGTTTCAATTTGAGATAAGTATTTGAGTAATAATTTTTGGCGAGCTGTTTGATCAACCCTTATTGTATTAGTAGGTACACTTTATTCATTTCTTTCGCAGACACTGAATACAGGTACCCTAATCGTATGCGTATGCTGAGAAAGTTCTAACAAACTTACTATATTTTTCCAGTGTCTTCTTAAATCTTTGTAATATTTAAAGGTTCCCGATTCTGGTAATGTTTCGTGGCAGTCTTCTATGACAGCTTTATTTAAACTATAAATCCATTGATAAATAAATTAACCAAGTATTAAATTTTGTTTCATATGTGCTGTTGTAAAATGTTGGCAAATTACCTCGGTAATACTCTAATACAGTGTCCAGCTTTGTATTTTTCATCCAATTTGATTAAAGTTATTTTAACAGGTTTTACTTCAAGCGTGATGAGAAAATCTGGAAATGCACACGTTTTTAATGCGTCATGTAAACAATTATAATATAATCAAATATTCCTAAAAAGAATACCTACCAAAAATTGAGAAATGCAATTTGATTCCATCCTGTGGCCCGGTAGTCTTTAAAAAATCTCTATTGTTAATGAAATAATCATATCCTAAGGTGTTCCATATAGGGGCAATTCTGGCGGTCATCGTATAACGAAAACATGATAAATACATGTCTGGTTTAACTTTTCTTGCGGCACCTTCCTTAAAATGAATTTTTATTTGTCATAGAAACAAGTTATTTTATATCGCGGTTATAAAACGCTATTTTGTCCAAAATATGAACTAGTACTCATTTAATGTAATAAAAAATATACCTGTACTTTATAATACTTACTTGCATAAGCGAAAATTTTGAAAATAAAGAAGTTAATGTTTTGAAGTCCTCGTTAGTATTATTTATAATTACGTGTACTTGCTGTACTTCATTTTTATCTGGACAAGCTAACAACGAAGAACAAGAGAATATGATCATTCTAAGAGAAACGAAAAAAAAGCATTAGTTTAGATTGAATTAAATAAGTACCATTATTTTTTTATTATTATGCAAATAATATGAAGCTTTTACCTGCATTTCAAAATTTTCCAATGATAATGAGAAGGTGTGGATCGATCGTGTTTATCGTCAATGTTAGCTATAGCCACAACATGAGCAATTTTTAATAAATCAGGATTTTGAATATTAAAGCAGTAGTTCGGATGCATTATTAAAACTATTAAGTACTTTAGTTTATGAATTTATCTATATATATAGTATATTCTATAATGTAGGTTACTATTGAATTTCCCGCTATCTTTCTTTCTTTTTTTCTGGAAGTAGAAGTGTGCCAACTAAAAAAAAATGGCCCTAAAATTAAGATGAAATACCCATAAATGCAATTTTAAAAAGCTCTATATTGTATTCAAACATTAATATTGTCTCAATAAGTTTCACGTATTTTTAAGGTTTTGTTTTTTCATTAAAAGTTGTTGAAATAACAAAACGACAATAGTAACTAAGATTTCGTTAATATAAATTTTGCTTTTTAGGGTTCCGTACCCGTATTCCGTACCGTACTAATGAAAACCAGTCAAGTGCGAGTCGGACTCACGCACGAAGGGTTCTGTACCATATCTACAAAAATGGCAAATAATTGTCTGTTATATGGGAGCCCCACTTAAATATTTTTTTAGTTTTTTAGCCGTTATTTAGATAATCGTACGGAACCTGTCGTGCGCGAGTCCGACTCGCACTTTGTCAGTTTTTTTACGAGCTTTTATTTAGTTACACCTGTCCCGACGTTTTTCATCGAATCTTGCAAATTAAATTTGACCCACCTTCTGGTTACCGATTAAGCTGAAATTTTGCATACATCTGGTGACAATGCAATATTATGATGACATGGAGCTGATCTGATGATGGAGCTGGAAGGTGGCCAAAGGAACTTCGCAATGAAACGACACAACCTCACCGAGTTTGGGCTCATTTTAATCGTCTTGACGAGAAGTTTGTCTTTCAATGATAACCAGGGTCTGATGATGGAGCTGGAAGGCGGTCATAGGAACTAAGTAATTCAGCGACACAATCGCGGCGATTTTAATTCGTCTTAATGGGTGGACCGTTTTTGATTGGCGGTGCGTGGTGTTGGTTTGGTGGACGTGTATAACCTTTTATGAATGTGGATTCTGTCTTTGATTACATAGAAGACCCATACTTAAAAGTTAAAAATAAAATTAAAAGAAAAAAAACTTTTTAGAAACAAACTTTTATTATATACTTGTTAATAAAATGAACTAAAAATTATTTTTATAAATTAATAAAAAAATATATTTCCAAATTGTCTTAAATTTGGGGCTTAAAGCCCTATGTTGGCAAGTCTGGTACTAAGGCACAAGTGGAGTAGCGTTGTATCGACAACTACAACTACTAGACTTTTCCTTAGCTGCCTGGATGAAAAGACGGTTTTTGTCAGTTATACACAGATAATCATCGGGGACGGAATGCTTTGGTAATTATCGATGTAGATTAGATGAGAACTGACGGAAAATTTTAAGGGGCATCGCAACTTTTCATTTTAATACGTATAAATAAAACATTTGAGAAAACTAAGATTTATTTGTATTATTAACAAAATTTCATATTGAATAAGTACTAAACTGCAAAGGCATTTGGTTACCAAGTAGAGACAAATAAATATTTAATTATGACTCTCAAATTGATCTCGAGCTTTGCGAAGAACACCTTGGGTTTTGTGAATTTCACGACAAATAGCCCGCTGCACACTTCTCTTTCTCATATTTGCTGCGTTTAATTGGGTCAAAGTTTCTGCGAGTGTGGCCTTAGTTCGTGCCAACTTCTGTTTTAATGTCACATTCTCTTCATACAAAGACCCTACAAAAAAGAAATATAAACTTAAAATATGCTTTAAAATATATAACTAGTTATATGTGCCTAAAATCTGGGAAGTGAAATAGCATAATTGATATAACAGTTTAAATTTTTATAGTGCTCTGGACTTAAGATTAAACATTATAATTTGTAGGAAAAAGGAACGAAAAGTTTCTCGACGCTGCGACATTATTGCTACATTGTTTTGTTGGTGTGGCAATCAGCTCTTTCGTTTAATGGCTAAAGCGTCAGGGCGCGAATCTCGCAGAGGCGAGAAACTTTTCGTTCCTTTTTTCTACAAACTTTAATGATATAACAGTTTTAACAACGAAGTACCAATATAAAATAAGAAAAAATACAAAATTATTAAATCAGCGCGAAGCCGTTAAAAATAACCAATGTAAAAATTACAAATTAATGTTAAAAATAGAAAACTAAATTGGAATCATGTCATTTTGCCTTCGAACATTTCAAAGTACAACTACTTTGGAATCCAATACTTACGGGGTGATAATGAAATTGCATCATTTTGTTCTAAGCTGGACAATCTATCGCTGTCGATTCCTTGATCAGGAGAAGTTGGTCGGTCCTCTTCTGAATGAGCTCCTTCTTGTAATTCAGCAATTTTATTGTCAACTTCTAAAGCTACTTTTCGAGTCAACTGTATTTCTAATTGTGTGTTTGCTTCTAACGCATTAGAAAGTTTTTCACGAGCTTCTTCGAGTTCTCTTTCAATTTGGAGTCTATCATGTTGGGCTCTTGCCCTTTCTAAAGCTGCTTGCGAGGCTTGTACCGTTGCTTCATCCGCAGCACGCCTTAAAGTTCTTTCAGTTTCTATAAAGTTTGATTCCAACTCTTGCCTTTCATTGCGTAATCTTTCTGTCAATTGTACCGTGTATGAAAGCTGTTGCTCACTATCTTTATATCTATCCTCCATTGTTTTAAGTGAATTTCTCATTATTTCCAAATTTTTATTGGCCTCAATAACGTTGTTACGTTCCGAAACCAGAGCTGTTACAATTTCATCCTTTTCATTTATTAGCTCATTAACTCTTTTCATGGCTGAATCTAGCTTTTCCAGAAGTTCTTTCTTTTCTTCCTCTAACTGTTCATTACTATTAGTAAGCTCACGTATTTCTTCAAGAAAAGCAGATTCATTGATAATTTTGTTGTCTTCAGATCGCGATCCGTACGAAATTCGTGAACGTCGTGCTCTAACTTTGTTATTATTTTCCGTCACAATTTCTTTAACGCCCACACCAGTGTCACACAGTCCTACCCTGGCCAAAGAAACATTTCTGTCTGGTTCTGACCAACATTCTGATTCCGATATTATGTCTGCTTGTGGAAAATGTTTATTTGTCAGTTTTTTAGTGGAGTACCTTTTGGTCTCATCACTACATATAACGTGATGTCCAAACATCATGGTCAAGTCTTCTATCCTTAATGATTGTGATATGTCAAGATTACTTTCGTCCATAGTAAAGTCTTCAGGGGCCATGGTTTCGTCCAATTTTAGCCCTACAGGTAAAGCCAAGCTTTGTTCTAGAATACTTTCGGCTAATTTTTTCTTATCTTCTCCTAACACACATCTGAAAATTGAGGTGTAATTGATGTACTTTCTTCTTAATTTTTAAGAAATAAATTGTCAATTAAAATAATGTAGTATAAGACATACTTGTGTGATAATAACTTGTCGAGAAAATATGCCAATCCTTGCAACCGCCGTGTTAGCAGTTGCTGGAGATTGCTGTAATAAATGAATAAAGAATTTTTCAACCAATTACAAAAATTAAATAAGAGAAATATGAAACGTGGCAATTTTGGTGATAAATAATGTAAGAGAAGCAAATTAATTATGCTTATCTTCGTAAGCCATAATATAATGTCGAATTAGATTACAAAACTAATTTTCTTCCGTTAGATTGAACATGTGTACATAAAAATTGAATAAGCTAATATAAGTAATATGAATGAGCTATGTCTGAAACTCATGAGTGCTCTATGAGTTTGAGACATAGCTCAGATGCTGTACAAAGAAAGAAAAAAAAGGTGGATAAAACATTAAAACCTGTGATCAGTGTTAGTGGTTATATTATTGGCTATATACGTATGTTACGATGGAAAAGAAAATATTAAAAACCGCTATGTAGGGCCGTGGCTGTAGAATAAGGCGAAGCCCATCATAGAAGAATAAACAAAAATGGTAATTCAGGTGCATATCTTATTAGTGTCGAAAATCCATTAGAGTAGAAAGTTCTATGGGTCCCGGATTGGGAGATCTTGGCCCCAGCCTTGTGGGACATTAATTTCCGGGGCAGTTTTTGGGGGCGGCTTTTAAGTTAAAAATAATGAAAAATAAAAGCGTTAAATAAAAAGCATTCACAGCGACGATGACGCGAAACCAATGATTTATGGACAACCAAGTGTTCACGCAAAAAGTGCTTTTTCGGTGAACAAAAATCATTGGACTCTCCAAATGTTCTGACCAGACAGAGTTCTTAAAATAGTTGGTCCTGAAAGTAGGCGAGTATAAGTTCTCTGAATGATCGCAGAACTCTTTCTGGTCTGTCATGACCAAGAAATTTAAACTGCTCCTTTCAATTACTCGGAGTCATAGGATCATAGGATTGAACAAAACACAGTAAAGAAAAGAAACAATATTCACATTCCGGAAAAGGCGAATGGATAACCACTTGAGCTTTGTACGATATTCGGAGACACGATCATGCTTGCGCATACCGAAAATAAATCTGACAGCTAAGTTTTGAATTCAAGCTCAAGCTTGTTAAGTTGGTCTTCGGTTAATCAAGATAGCTTGCGTCCGCATAACCGAGAATGGAAAGAAGTAAGGATTGTGCTAATATAATCTTAGTAGGAATGGGGAGAGAAGAACGTAAGCGCCGCAGAGAACCCACACGGCAGCAAATGTTTTCCTGCTAACTTCCTTTAACTCGTGAGACCACGAGAAAGTAGAATCTACGTGAACACCAAGGTTTTACATATGTTAAGTACACATGAATATCGGTTTCCTGGGAATAATCACGAAAGCTTTTCCTTTAAGATGTGTAAAAATTTCGTATACCTAATCTTTTCTTCCCTTAAAAATAAAATAACTACTAACCCGGCCGCATCTTCGTTTTGTACGCTGTCCACATTTTTCTGAAGTTGCCTCAGCTTATTTTCTAGATCCTTTATATGCTCATCCTTGCATTTTAAGATTTCTTCGTACTTTTCTAATTGTGAATCACTAACGTGCGCATATGTTAATTCCTTATCCTGAAATTTTTTTCATTGTTTTTGAATTTTTGGAGCTCTGTGGTGAATCCGAACAGTATTTTCGACCGAACCGTTGACGGTGATGAAACATGGGCTTATCACTATGATCCTTGCTCTCAAGCAAGAGTAATGCAGTGGGATAAAAAAGGAACAGACCTACCAAAGAATTTTAAAGTCCCACCCCATACGCTGTAAAACTCAGCCACAGTTTTTTGGTATTCAGAGGGAATATTACTAATTGAGTACACAATTACTGCCGTATCTTACGCAAACACCCTACGTAATTTAAAGAAGACAATAAAAGAAAGAAGACGTGGAAAAATGTACGGTGGTAGTACCACGACCTTACAGAAGACCGGTGGGAAATAGAAGTGTTACACTTCTGCGTTTCGTTTGGTGAGGTAGGTAGCCAGGGCCCACTTTATTAAAAGGTGACAATGCATCTGCAACCCTACGGGTATTGCCAATGTCCATAGGCGGCGGTTATAACTTAACATCAGGTGAGCCGCCAGCTCATTTGCCACTTTGTCATATAAAAAATAAAAAAAATTATACCAATTTTAATTTCTTCATTTCCTTATCTTGTTGCTGAATCTTCTTCATGCATCCCTTAATCATTTCTAAAGCTTTGTGATTTTCTTTTCGCAGTTTTGTTAATTGATCCTGTAAAATAATCACGAGGTAATAAGACCTTGTTTTATTATTTAATGGGACCTTCTATTGGGCGACTCTATTGGTGATCTTCACTATCTTCTATTCTACTTATTTAAACATGCGGTTATTTTTTTTATTTATAATAATCATCTTAAACCGTGATAGCTCAGTCCGGTCGCTCCGGCCGGTTACGATCGATCCCGGTGCCGGCACCAATTAAATTGTAAATTGTAAATTTTAAGTGCCGACTAATCACGTATTCAGCGGTGAAGGAAAACATCGTGAAGAAAGCTACATATTTTAGAAATAATAACAAGAAATATTTCGAAGGTAAGTGAAGTACGTCAATCAGCAGTGGGGTCGCGTGGTGAACTGTGCCCTAATTCCCGCTGTATTTTATTACTAGCGACCCGCCCCAGTCCCGAACGGGTGTGCAAAACCTTCCTCTTGATTCCCTCTATTTAGTAAAAAAAACCCGAGTCAAAAGAGTCATTATATTTAATAAACTCTGTAAGTATGGCAACACAAAGTGATCTCGTGTTGCAAGCAGCTATGAACTTGGGAAGGCGTTAACTTTACCAGAATCGCCACGCAGAAGGACATCACTGCGATCCGATCAGGAAGATCTACAGTTGCTTCTGATTGAAAGTGATCACGGAAGGCAAGTATACCACATAACATGTAGAACAATGAGCCTATATTTCGCATTATGTACTTTGCTACTATTTTAATTTACAAGCGTATAAAAACATACCAAATCTTCGTTGTTTACAGTTACAGCTAGGTAGTCCCTGTAAAAAATAAGGAAAGTAAAATGAAAAAATAACATTTTTAGTTATATTTAAACATATATTTAAAGTAGTTGAAATTTATTAGATAAAATTAAACAACTAAAATTTAAATTTGATTTCAACTTGTCTGCAGATTAGCACTAAAAATAAAAAAATAAGCGAGCGCGTTCGGCGCAGGTTTAACTACCGCAGTACCGATTTTTTTTCAAAAATTTTTCTATTACAATCATTTAAGTTTCACCTTGAGTGCAGATTAGGATAAAACAATAAAATCCTAGATGAAACTTTTAAATAATTTCTTTAATAACCTACCCCGCTGATTCAGACTCAGGGTATGTATCGTCCACCATTTCTGCTTGATGATGATCAGTTGACTGTAAAAAAAAAATATGTTTTAACAACACCAATGTTCTAACCAGCTTTTAATTTAACACAGCTTTTGTCGAGAGTATTCGACAACTTCAACTGTTGTAGGGCCACGCAACTGTTTTCACTGTTGCACGAATGGGCAGGTCCGAGAAAGTACCGCAACCTCACAGAAGATCGGCATGAAATGGAAGTTCTATACCGTGAAATGGAAGCATAATACTTCTGCGTTTCGTCTGATGAGTGAGCATCTGCAACCCTATGGGTGTAGCAAACCGCCATCGTGTTGCACCTTCTCAGGTATAAAAAACAATGGGTTTTAGAAAAATACACTATAAATATACCTGTATAGTTATTTAATTTTATAGTGTAAAATAATGCTACTAAACATTCAAACATATTTTGTACAAATTGGCCAGTCGTGTAAGCTTTACTTAATAAAATTTAGTGGTTGACTTAGCTGGAAATAATATAATTGCAAACACAAATTGTATGGAATTATCCAGAAAATCTCTGAAGAAGACTTCTTCAGACCTGGCAACTGAGTTGGTAAATGAAATTAAGAAAACACTAATCGAAAAATGCTGTAAAAATAGATAATTCTCCAGCAAAAACAAGAAGACTAAAAAATGGGTTTAATAGCGTGGCCAGTTGTATCAATAATATCTTTTTTATTTTCTCTAGTCTCTTTTCATATTTTATGTGCCTATAATGTGACAGGTCGTTTATATAATAATAGTTCATGACTGGGTCGATTCAGGGGAATTAAACGTTTTTAAGGTCCACGTAAATATCTTACATTTGTTGCCTAAATTTACAATTCTCGTTGTTGATAATATCGGTATTAAATTATAATATATTCGTGGTTAACAATACAACCTAAAATTAAAACATAATACAAAACGGAACGCCTTTAAACAATAAGTAATAAATAAAACATAAAAATATTAAAACTTACCTTCAATTCTTCAGTCATGTCCCTTCTCATTGCGACACTATTGTTCACAGATGTTTCGACGCCTTCATTTGATATGGAACCCTGAAGAAACACAAAGCAAAACATGAGTCATAAGAAAGTCGGTACTTTGCTAAAGTTGCTCTTTCAGGATTTATTTTTATCTTTATCTCACATTAGCGGCCTGTTGTTACAGGATAAGACAAAGGCGACCTCTTCACGGAGGACTGCGCACATACGATGGGGCCATTTGATAAATTCGCGAAATGGACTACAAGGGAGAGAAAGAAGATTTTCTGTACATTCTCCTGCAACCCGAATACATTTTTGAAAACCTTCGATTATTTCTTTACACCGTTAAATGTTTTTTCCTTATCGGAACTTCCTAACTTCTTCATCAGTGGAAAATCTCTTTGCACGGAACTCTTTTTCATCCCAAGAGGGTCAAAAACATTTCTAAAACATTCGCCGCACTTTGGTTTTTGCGGCAGCGTGAGCATTTTTGGCGCCCACCGTGCGTTGACCTTACTCGTGCCAAGGATGTTCTTGCAGAATTTTAAAAACAGTTGTATTACCATTCTACGGTGGTAGGGCCACGCAGCAGCCTCGGCTATTGCACAAATGGGCAGGCCCATCCGGGTAAGTACCACGACCTCACAGAAGACCAGCGTAAAGTGGAAGTATGACAAATAGTTTCACGGTTCGTCTGGTGAGTGAGGTAGCCGGAGCCCAATTTTCAAAAGGTTGTCAACGCATCTATAACCCTCGGATGTGGCAGATGTCCATGGGCGGCGGTATTCACTTAACATCAGGTGAACCGTCTGCTAGTTTGAAAACTTTTCGCATAAAAAAAAAGGAAAAAATCGGATTCTCTAATCATTTTTGCAAGCTGTTTCTTCTTAGTCGAGCATCTTATTATACTATTTTTTCTTTATTTTTTCATCCATGTTTCGGAAGTGAACTCAAGAGATCGCCCTGGCCGTCTTCGTGTGGGTCGTCTTCACGTGCTTCCCTGATTTGATTAAAAAGTATGTGCCAAGTTTTTAGCATAGTGTTCCCAGGGCAACAGCCGAAGCTGTTGCATGGTCCTACCTTTTTCTAAATTTTAACTGTTGTAGAGCCTTATATTTATACTAATTATGAGTCATTGAACACGTCAAGCCCTTGACGAGCCTGCTACCACCCCCCTCCAAAACGCTATTTCGCGAACTTCAAAGCACACTCTAGAAAACTACAGTGAACAGACAACATTGGGGGCGTGCACAGGAATTTGAGAACTTATACACAATTAAACTCGGGACGCAGAAAAACAACTACGAACATTATCACATATCAAAAATTTTGGACAACTACAAAAGTACGAGTACCTGATTTTCTAATACATCGATGGCTTCGGCAGCTGCTGCTAGTAGTTCTTGTTTATCAGTCAGTTGTCTCCTAAGTTCTTCAACTTCCACTTGAAGCCTCACATTGTGTTCTAATAAACCCTGAAGCACAAAATAATATTAAAGGTATTAAATTATTGAAGTAATAGATTATATTATAAAAAGTAATATTTAAATTTCAACTAACGGCAATTAAGTTTTACCAATAGTCATATTGTTTACATGGGAGACAATTATGCTTTTTAACAAGTTATTTAAAAAATATTTTCGGTAACAATATTAACAAATAAACGAATACAAATTTTTACTGTAAATTGTAACTTTTTAATAGTCTTTACAAACTTTATAAATGTCGAAAACATTAACATATATGTATATGTTAAAATAATAATAAAGTTTATAAATACTACTGATAATGTAACATTAATTAACTAAAATAAATGGATGTAAAAATTTATAATTAAATAATATAATATAATTACTTGTACAGCAGGTGGTGCTCCGTTCCCTAATTTTTCTTCTAGGAAGTATATTCTTAACTTTAGATGAAAGTTCTCCTTACGCAGTGAGTTTAGTTGCTCCTCATATTGCTTCATGCTTACACCACTGGCTACTGTTACATCTGCCAATACGAAAAATTAATTTCATGTGTTAATTAGTTGCCGTATATAATATTTTTAAATGGTAGTTGGTAACGCAAAAAGACCATCGATTTTGCATTTCACTGGATAAAATATTGTCTTAGCAGAAGAAAGTAATTTAAAACCACTATTAATTAAACTGCACAGTTTCTTTTCATCCAATTTTAGGGGTATTGTGAATAAAAGTGAATAAAACCGTAAAGCAAAAATCACACTTTCAGATTGATAATATCATAGCATAAATTAATTAGGTTCTTTTACTGGGTTTTTCCCAAATAAAGTTTTAAATTGAAAGGGCAAATCTGCTGGAGTTATGGGAATAATATTTATTAATTGCTATTATTATAATATCTAAATAATTCTAAAATTCCATCCTACCCTTTAAAATGAGGTCAGCGGATTTACAAGATTAACTGACAGAACAAATAACTGCTGCGTTTTGATTTGGTGGCCATGATAGCTCATTATCCGGTCGTTCACTTTTAATTCAATATAATAGAATAACCTGAGCTCGAACCTCGGTGCCGGCATTAATGAAATTGTTAATTTTAAGTGCAGACTTATCACGCGCTCAGCGTTGAAGGAAAACGTCGTGAGGATACCATATTTTTGAAATAATAACAAAAAAAAATATTTCGAGGATATATTGTGAAGTCCGGCAATCCGCAGTGGCGCCGCATCGTGCACTATGCCCAAATACCATCTGTGCAGAGGAGGCCTTTGCCCAGCAGTGGGACGTGTATACTTTACTTTGCTTTTTTTAATGTAGTATTTGAATTTTTGTAAACATGTGACAAAGCGGCACAAACACGAAAAAAACTCATATTTTATGACTGTCTATGGGTACCTATAGCAAAAACATCAGCCTACTACAACTGAACGACCAATTGTATAGATTATTGCCATAGTTGTGTAATAGGTGCTATAGGTACCTGAAATATGAATAAAGGCAATGCTTGGGTTTTTCTCGAATTCACTGTCATTTTAAAATAAATATTTCCAATCTTTAAATTAATAATATATTATTTTTAAAATTGGCTTTATATAATTATAAAAAAAAAAAATTCTATATATAAGCCATATAATAAGGCTTATATATATGTAGGCGTAGGATAAATAAAATCTTTATTTTGAGTATATTGTTACTATTTTCATCTTTATTTAAATTAATACATTTTAAGACACAGATACACGTTACTCGTTCGTGGCGTCGTTGCGAAAAGTCCCTCAATCCCTTTTACGTCATCCATCCTTCTCATTCACACAATACTTCGTTCAAAAATCATCTTTTACTCAACTATTAAATAATTAATCCTACAACTCGGCCATTCTGCAAATCAGTCTGGCCTCAGACTGAAGCTACTTTACCATAGTTATACTAAGTACTTAACATTTTTTTTCCTTCTTCATAGACATAAGTGTTTAAACATACAACAAAAAAAATAACAACACTAATTAGCTTATTCCTTTACAACCACAGGTAGTTTAGGCAGTTTTAGTAAATGTTTAAAAAATACAAAATTACAAAAACAATTACTTAATCACTCAAAAAAAAAACAATTTGTATCAAGGCCATCTCTTCATATAATCTGAAGCTGATGTAGTTCTTATCGGCCCTTCTTTACCTCTTGTCTATTTTCTCTACCTCATACCTACCCCTTCCCAACTCCTTTGTAATTCGATATGGTCCGTAGAATTTTGGTTTTAATTTTAACGCAGTTCCAAACTGTACACGTTGTATAGCAACCAGATCACCTTGCTTGTACTTCTCTCCTTCTTTACGTCTTTTGTTATATGTCTTTCTATTCTCTTCTTGGATCTTTAATATTTGTGCCTTAGCCTCTCTTCTTGTTTCATCTCTTCTACTCATAAATTCGATTCTGCTTTCCTCTTCTAAGTATTCCATAATAGATAAATCTTCTTTCAGCTTAAGTTTCACTCCCGTTAACAATTCAAAAGGTGTTGTGTTAATTGATCGTTGATATGTGCTATTAATGACTCTTTGAAGCTTACTCACATGCTTATACCAATGGCCTGGTTCTTCTATACACATCTTTGTTAAAGTAGAAATAATAACTCTGTTCACCCTTTCAACTTGACCATTTCCGCGTGGTATTCCAGTGGCAATAGTGATATGTTTAATGCCTTCCTCTTGACAGTACTCTTGAAATTCATTCCCTGTAAAAGCTACTTCCTCGGTCAGTAATGATTCTCCGTGGGTTACCATAATCTTTCTGGTGCAACTTTAACTTTTCTACAGTTTCCTTTGCTGTCACAGTCTTAACAGGATAAATCCAGACGAACTTTGTATATCCATCAATAACAGTAAGTATGTAGTTATACATTTTCTTAGTTGCATCTAATGGCCCTAAATGATCACAATGTAAAGTATCCAGTGGTAATTCTCCTTTATCAATTGGATTTAAAAAGCCTTCTTTCTTACCAGACTTTCTACTCGCTAATAAACAGGGTACACAGGTAGAAACAATCTTATCGATTTTACTGTCTAGTTTTGTAATGTAATAATCTTTTTCTATTATATTCTTAATCTTCTTCAAAATCAAAATTCAAAATCAAAATATATTTATTCAAATAGACGCTTGCGCGCTCTTATGAATCGTCAAATTTTACATCAAAGATTATGTGTATAGGTTCGTAAGGTACCACCGGTTCGGAAAGCGGTTTCTGTTGAGAAGAGACCGGCAAGAAACTCAACAGTTGCTCTTTTTCAAAAATATCAGGGTACAATATAATATACAGGTATAATAGTCTTATTCTAGCCTACGTGAGTATCAACAGTATTAACTCCACACATTGGCGTCGTCGAGATATTCCGAAATGGTATAATATGCTTTAATCATCAGTTGATTTTTAATTTTACATTTAAATTGGTCAAGCGGCAGACTTAATATCGACTGTGGGATTTTATTATACATGCGTACACTTTGCCCCATGAACGACTTATTTACTTTTTGTAGACGAAACAATGGCGTAGTAAGTTTGTCCTTATTTCTAGTGTTTATTTTATGTCTGTCACTATTCTTTAGGTAATAATTAAGGTTATGACGTATATACAAAACATTACAATAAATGTATTGAGAAGCAACAGTGAGTATATTAACCTCTTTGAAAAGATCTCTGAGTGAATTCCGGGCTCCGATATTGTAGATTGCTCGGACAGCTCTTTTTTGAAGAATAAATATAGTATTTATATCTGATGCACTACCCCACAACAAAATGCCATACGACAAGATGCTGTGAAAATAACTAAAGTAAACAAGTCTGGCAGTGTCGATGTCTGTTAGCTGCCTAACCCTTCTAATCGCAAAAACCGCGGAGCTCAGCCTATTCGCAAGAGATGATATATGGGGACTCCACTGGAGCTTTGAATCTACTGTAATTCCCAGAAATAGAGCAGACTCAACTGGATTAATGGGTACGTTATTTAATATTAAACTAAAACTTTTCCTTCTTATACTGGGAAGGGTAAAAAGAATACATCTGGTTTTTTTGGCATTTAATACCATATTATTAATAGTAAACCAGTGGAGGATATGTGAAAGCGCACTATTCACGTCGTCATAATTTAATACGTTTCGGTCAACTTTAAAAATAAGCGATGTATCGTCAGCAAACAGTACAACATCACACAACCCACTGGCATAAAAGGGGAGATCATTAATATATACTAAAAATAATAATGGGCCCAAGATTGATCCTTGTGGGACTCCCATTTTCATCTGGGACCCAGTGGAATTAACATCATTTATAGATACTTTTTGAATTCTATTACTAAGGTACTTCTTCCCGAAATGTCCAATTCCATGGGCTTTCATACATCTTTGATAGCATCATTCTCTAAAAAATAATCTTCATATCCATTCTTTTCTAATAGTTTTCTGATAATCTTTAACCCTTCATCTTCTTCTTGTGCCTTCTTTATTCTCGCATGTAACTCAACATCAACAAAACAAATGTTTCTGCTCAATGCGTCAACATGTTGCATCTTGTCTCCTGTTCTATGTTCTATAGAATACTGAAAATCCTGTAAGTATAGTATCCATCGTGCTACTTTTGCAGATGCATCCTTTTTGTTCAAGGTTTTTTGAAAGGCTTCACAATCAGTGACAATTTTAAAGGGTATTCCTATAAGATATCTTCTGAATTTCTTCACTGCTTCAAAACAGCTAAAGCTTCTAACTCGTAACTGCAACACTTTTGTTGAACTTCTGTAGTCTTTCTGCTCATGTAGTGAACAGGATGTTGACAACCATCATTAGGGTCTCGTTGCATTAAAATAGCTGCATATCCATGCATAGAAGCATCTGTATGTAATTCAGTTTCCAAATGAACATCAAATATTTTCAACACTGGTTCACAACATAATTTTGACTTTAATTCGTCAAAAGCTTGTCTTTGAACATCCTCAAACTTAAACTCACCTTTTTTCAATAAATCACTTAATGGCTTCGCTATTAAAGCATAATTTTGAATAAACTTCCTGAAGTACGAAGTTAATCCTATGAAGCTGTGCAGTTCTTTCAAATTTTTAGGCACTGGAAAGGTCATAACAGCCTTTGTTTTCTCACTAGATGGTCTTATCGTTCCATTGGAAATATGGTAGCCTAAGAATTCAACAGATCTTTGTAGTATTTGTGACTTCTTCCAATTTATTTCGAGCCCATACTCCGCTGCCACCTTCAGCAAAGCTTTAAGTCGTTCAATTCCCTCTTTTTCATCTTTTGAAAGTATAGTTATATCGTCAATAAATATCAAAACCACTCCCGTTCTTATAAAATCCGCAAATATGATGTTAATGTATCTTGTAAAGTATTTAGGACAGATAGAAAGACCAAACGGTGCTCTTAAAAATTCATACTGGCCTTCAGGGTTACTCGTTACTCTTCTTCAATTGGTAAGTGGAAAAAGCCATTTTTTAAATCGAGTGTGCTATACACATTCACTCTACTCAATTTGTCAATAAGGTCGTCGATTACAGGTAATGGACGTTCGTCTTTCACCATTTTCTGATTTATCTTTCGATAATCTACGCAAACTCGTACACTGCCATCTTTTTTCTTTGTCAATACTAAGGGACTTGCATACTCAGAATAACTAGGACGAATGATGCCCATCTTCAACCAATCATCAACTTGCTGCTCCACTAATAGTTCTTCGGTTAAAGCTAATCTTCTAGGCCGTTGTGTCATATCATCTTTTGTGTGGGGAATATCATCTTTTAGAACAATTTTCAGCCTAATGGGTGCATCTTTGGACTTCAAAGGTACGTAATCATTTAAATATATTTTACCGCACTACATTGGTCATCATTACTGGAAAAAAGACATATAGCATTTTGATATAAACTATCGTAACATGGAGGCCTAATTTCAACGGCACCTTTGTCTATAACCGTAACAGTATTTACTAAGAATGGTTGACCTAATATTACATCATGTGGCATTACATTAGTTGGTACAATATAAAAATTAATATTGTAATGGTGATCGTCGATAATTAATTCCGTGTCGAATTTACCGATTGAAAATACTTGTGAACAACCCAACCCGGTAAGCAACATTCTGACAGGTGTATATCCAATATTTAATTTAGAAAAGAAATTTAAAGTTATTAAGTTTAAATCACCCACCCGTATCAATTAAACAGTTCGTCACGAAATTACCTATTTTTACATTTTTTATGCTTCTATTAACTATCGCATCACCTTTATCTACATTAAATACAGACTGACGTTTTTGAAGTTGACACTGAATCCCCTTACTGTCACAAACATTTGATATGCAGGCACTCGCTCTTTCCTTCGGATCGCAACTCATTACATTTCGTTCACGTTCACCTTCTTCATTCACGTCCACGTTAGCGGAACTAGCGCCCTCTGATGTCAGCGTGGGATATTGAATGAACATCGATCGTCGATCCCGCTTTGCATGCATTTGTGTTATTACAGGTTCCGTTTTCTTACATTCTGCGCCTATGTGACCGAACTCATTACACCTAAAACATTTTACACCTCTTTGACAGGAACTCGACAGATGCCCTTTCTCACCGCACTTGTAACAACGTTGGAATGTCTGTCCTCCAGTTTCCCGTTGTGCCATCGGCTTCATTACTGTTACTTCTCTTTGGCTTATAGTACTCTTCTTGGTTTTCTGTTTGTAACTATCATACAATGCTATTTTCTCCTTGAGCACTGAATAGGATGTAACACCATAGAATAATAATTTGTTTGATTCGTAGTCGTTTATGCCATCGACTATATACTGTATGGTGACGTAGTCTGCAAACTTAGCCCTTTTTCCCAATTCTTTCATGACAAGCATGTATTGATAAACCGTTTCATTAGCCTGCTTTTTCCGATTACTCATCATTTCATGCATTTGTTTGGAATTTATAGTATCAGGAAACTCCTTCATCAGAGCCGTTCTAAATTCATCATAAGTTTTAAATGCTTTTTCCGTCTTCAGCCATAATTGTGCAGTACCAGCCAAGCACCTCCGCGCGATAATTAGCCGTTGTAGTTGGTTCCATCCGAAAATATCTGCGTTGTCTTCAATATCCTGCGTCCATTTTGCAGAGGAATACGTCATATCATCCCCCGTAAACTTAGGTAGGGAATCCATCGGGAAGAATGGATTATATTTACCATCGTCGTTATTGCTCTCCATCATCTTCAACCGTCGTAAATATTATCGTCGTTATTTTAAAGTGACAATTAATACGCTTCCTTTGTAACACGTAATGGCGGCTGGCGTACGTGATCACTTTCTCTCGTTATTAAAATACCCAAAAATCACTTTAAGCCCGTTATCCCGGACGAGAATTTTGTAGGCGTAGGATAAATAAAATCTTTATTTTGAGTACATTGTTACTATTTTCATCTTTATTTAAATTAATACATTTTAAGACAGATACACGTTACTCGTTCGTGGCGTCGTTGCGAAAAGTCCCTCAATCCCTTTTACGTCACCCATCCTTCTCATTCACACAATACTTCGTTCAAAAATCATCTTTTACTCAACTATTAAATAATTAATCCTACATATATATATATATATATATATGTCTGTAGGATTAATTATTTAATAGTTGAGTAAAAGATATATATATATATATATATATATATATATATATATATATATATATATATATATATATATATATGTCATTTCAAAAATTTTTAACTATTATTTCATTTTAAAAACTTACCATGGCCATGTCCATCAGGGGTAGGAATTGTCATCTCTTGCAGTTTCCGCGGACTTGTGCTGCAACGTGAAACCGTTATCAAAGTTATCGCGAAGCTGACTCATGCTAGTTTCATGAAGTTTTTCTTAAACTTTGTTCTACATATTTCAGTTAATAATCTAATAAAGATGCTAATTTTTTTTTTTCATAACTTTCGAGATATTAGGTCTTTACCTATGAAATTGCCGTTTTGTATGAAATAAGTTAAAAATATTCCGAAAAATTTAATCTGGGTGTGAAAAGATGACACCTTCATTGTCTCCTGCAAAATCCCCTAAACTGTATGGGTTGCCTTAAGTACACAAACCAAAAGCTACGTAATTTACTATTTTGGACAGATCAATTTACAGATACACCCCAATATTATGTAAAAATTCTCTCACTATTAAGAAGGACACACAAAGTTGTAGATAGGATTCTGAGTTTTTCTAGTGAGATAAAACATCCAGGTTTTTTATGTGAAATATTGCCAAACGAGCACCGTTTCACCTGATGTTAAGTGAATACCGCCGCCCATGGACATCTGCTATACCCGAGGGTTACAGATGCGTTGACAACCAGGTCTTGCCGATACAGAAACAATCTGTCTATTTTATGCCCAGTCTTTTTTATATTTGCCTAACAATATACCTTGAGCCACAATGTGCATAGACAATCCATCCCAGTTAGTTACCATGGATAAATCTTTGTTTCAGGGATCACAAGGGGATTGCGACAAGGAATACATGACCGCAGAGCTACAAAGTTTCAAGCTGGTAGCATGACAAGAAGATTTAAGGACCGCGCTTCTGCACTATGACCGAGTGAAACCAGCTACAGTGGAGCGAGTTCCTGCTGTATACCATACGTCAGAGGAGTCACCGTCAAGATTGGAAGGCTTCGATTAAAACATTTTACAAGCTCCTGAAGATGATTAGTCAGATTTTACCATCTGCTAAGTGCAATATACCTTAAAAGCGTTGGATCCTAGGTTGAATTTGAACGGGAATTAAAATTTAAAATAAAGGCGATAAATCCCTAAATCACTTCTTGTTTATTTGTACGTTAAGTTGACGGTCAGTGCTCACTAATTGAAATATTAGGATATGAACTATTTAGTTGGCGCTTTGCTTAATTTATGGTATCAAGGTTTTTTCTAGATCTCATAGCTTCCCTGGGGATAGTCCAAATAACAGTTCATTTCCATTCAGAACATTATCAAAAATAAAAGAAGTTGAAAAGTGTATGCCTCAGTAGATGAATTCCGTAATCAAATAAATCACTGTATGTGTTAAGTTGAATAAAATAATATCTGGTTTTTTTTAATGTGAAAAGTTGCCAAGCGAGCAGACTGTTCACCTTAAGTGAATACCGCCGCCCATGGACGTCTGCAACACCCGAGGGTTCCAGATGCGTTGACAACCTTTTGAAACTTGGGATCTGGCCACCTCACTCACCAGACGAAACGCGAAAGCATTATACTTCAAATTTACGCCGGTCTTCTGTGAAGTCGTGGTACTTACCCAGACGAGCCTGCCCATTCGTGCAACAGCCGAGGCTGCTGCGTGGCCCTACCACCGTTTATCTGTGCTGTACTTGTAGCATTTAAAGATCTACTCAGAGGCGGATTATCCTTAAGGCAAACTAGGCATGTGCCTAGGGGCGCGAGGGTATAAAGGGGCGCGGGGGAAAAAAAAATTAAATAATTTATAGTGTGACAGTTTGTTGTGACTTATTTAAAAGTTTAGTTTTTTTTTATAGTGCTAATCTCTGCACTTTAGATTTAACATTAAAATTTGTAGGAAAAGTACGAAAAAATTGTCGGCGTTGTGGGAATCGAACCCACGTCTTCGGCATTCGCGGCCTGACGCTTTAGCCACTAAGCTAAACAGCTAATTGCCACATCGAATTATAAAACTTTGAATTTTGTAGGACAAATATTTTTTCGGTTTATTTATATAATTATCTTGGGAATTAACAAAGAAAAATACAGTTAGTAAACAGTTTTTGAAATTCGTCAAATCAACATATTTCACCCCTGCTAAACCTGTTAGCTACCGTTTACCAAAATTGTTGTAAGGAAAAAGTTTGGCGTCAAAATGAAGCAACTCACGAAAAATCTGCTTGTTAGTAATAAAAGGTGAAAATGGGCCTGGGACCCCGGACTAATCTCCATGATAGAATAATAAAAAAGTTTTGCCTAAAAAAAACAGAGGCACCTAATAAACTATTTCTAATATAAACTTGTGGATTATCCTCTCATGGGAGGTCTTTGGAGAGTATTCGCAGATCAACATTAAGTCATTTTTTTTTTCGGACACTACACAACTTTCTCTAGTTCCAAACTAAGCAACGCTTGTACTATTGGTGCTACAATAGTGATAAACATTCTTTTCTTTTGTATAAAATACATATTGGAAAAACACTATTCATCACACAATATTTTTTCCAGTAGCGGGGATCGAACCTAAGCTGTGTGGCGCAAGAGGCAAGTTCTACTCCTCACGCCAATCGGGTCGCCAATCTCTATTTTAAATGAAACTGCAACTTTAAAAAATAACATCACAGTTAGTTTCAAACTTAAGTATTTATAATTATAGATCAATTAAATAAGTTTTGTACACATATTGTGTCGTAAGTTTTGTACCAATATGCACAATATACAAAGTACTTACACGTCTTATCAAACTTATTTACGACTCATGTTTATATTACATTTTATGTCGCGATAGGTGATTAAAAATGAAATTTCAGTTCTTCACAACAAGAATGAATGTTATCATCAAATGCGGATCGCAAAAATACCGCTTTAAATGATTCTTTATTATGTTATGCAAAACATATTAAAAATAAAGAATTTATGAAAAATTAAATAAGACAATGACTTTTAATTTCAATTATTGAGCTTACCTAAAAGGCGACGATATACTACTTCCATGTTTGGAATGATTCATTCTCGGTAACGTTGCCATTTTTGTGGAGTGCGGTCTCTTTTGTCAGAAAAATTAAACCCCTAAACAATACATAAATAACACACACCAAACACTGCACTTTGCACGACAAGTTCGCTGTGGGCTCGGGACACATCTATTTATACGGAAAAACTGTTTGCCGCTCACATCATTCACAATATTCTTCTCATTAAGGGAATAATGTATTTAAATAACAATTTATTTATATGTTTTACCGTTGTTATTGACAATAACAAAAATGGGTATTCGGCAACAAAGTAAACAAACGAACCGATTAGCAAATTACATATTACGTCTCAACCTATTTTGCTCCCGTGTTCGCTGTTAACAGCGAGGATACTGTATTTAGGACGGGCTCTCAGGCTCGGGTGTGAATCGGGAACGTTCGCGTGTCGCCGTAATGCGGTGAGATAGACACATTTGACAGTATGTGAGATGAAGGGAGATGAAAGTAGTGTTAAGACTTAACACTATAGGGCGGGAGGCGGATGCTGCTGTATATTGCACAGAAATAGAAGTAGTTGCGTAGTAAGCCGCTCTAAATTTTAAAGATATTCTACTTCCTTCTAATCACAGTAATAAATTTAATGCTTTCCACTGTTAAGCAGTGGTTTTGAAATGATTTGGGATCATTTATTATCATAATAATGATGCAACAATTATAAGAAACATATACTCCCCTCAACTTTTTTTTTTTTTAATTAGAGAAATACGTTGATAAATTATTTGACCCTAAGATCATAAATGTAAAGGTGGAAATCAATTCTATTCGATGATCACTTAAAATGCAAGCGTTGGTGCAATAAACGTTTTATTAAATAATGCTTTTTTACAATGTATAAGCAGTACATGTAGAACAAGTGTAACTGGTATTTGTATCTACAAAGGAATATTAGAATTTGGTGTAATATATTTGGGGCAATATATTCACGAAATTAGATTTAAATGCGTTTTGTCGTTATATCATCATCGATACGACAAGATGCTTCATGTCAAGAAGCTGTCTCGATGTCAAGTCAACGTGCTTTGATTAAAAAAACTGTAAGATCTATGATCACACTATTAAGATATAAGAAACTTCAAAAACATTGAAAAATAGGGGTTTAGATTAAATAATGTATTAAATATGTATATTCCAGAGCAAGATATAACATTTTCAGAGTTTTAAGCATTCATGGCGTCCTTTAAAATACAAGTACCTGGAAGACCGAGCTTTGCTCGGTTTGTTTCTTTTTTTGGTAAATCATGTATTTTGGAAATTACAATTAGATACAAATTACTGAGTAATGAAAAATGCATAATATTTTTCGATCTTACCGACGTAATAATAAGAAAATATGAAGTGGTGTTTTCACAAAAGAAACAACTTAAAAAAAAAGGGAAAAAAATAACAAAATCATCGATCGACAAAAAATAAAAAATAAAGGCAGCAATGATCTGGAATCGAAAAAAAAGTAAAAAAAAAGAGTGTGTAAATGATCGTGAAGCGAAACCACGGCCGTCTGTTTTGGGGCGGCCCGATTACCGACCGAGCTATTATAACATTTTTTTTGCGGCGAAATTTACCGTCATATTCGAATGATATTTGTCATTGCCTGCATACAGGGATAAATGGACATTTTATATATATATATATATATATATGACTGATTCATACATTCAGAGACTTTTTCATTCGTTGCCACAGCGTCGCATTAAAAGCCTCTCCTTCTAACAGTATGTTTTTTCTCTTTTAAATTAATTCAACCCATTCATATTGATTGGTGATCTTTACAAATGAACTTTACGTTACAGTTTTGTACGTAAGGGTGTTCTAAAATTCGTCGTTTTGGAAAATTTAATAACTCTGTAAATATTGATGTTTAAAGAATGTAAATTTTTGATACAATTTTAAAAAGTTATCCTTTATATGTGTGTTCATTTATTGTCGCGTTGGTAACGACACGTTGTATATATATAAGATATATACAAGAATTACTAGTTTAAAGGATAAGATTTTTGAAATTTTACCCTTACTTCTATAATTATAGTTATATAGCGTTATCAATTATTGTATTTAATGCCTTTTTCACAAACAAAGAGTACTGGCACAGGGGACGAAATTATTAGTTATTTTTCTTATGTACACAATTAATAAGTATAAATTCATACGTGCATACATAAGTACAAACACTTTTTTTTATTTTGGGTTTAATTTTTTGAGTAGAATGGAGACGAATTGTTGTGTATTTGTCAGTTAAAGTTTTAATTAGATTAAGTGATTTTTAAGAGTGAGTGACTGTTGCATTGTATGTTCAAAAACTGAGCCAAAATAAATTGAAATTTTAAGTTTTCAAGATGCGACATTTTAATTTTTCCGATTTATTTCTTTGATTATCGTACTATTGCAATGCACTTTTTAAGTCGAACTCCATTAGTTAGAAACCTTTATGTAAAAAGTAAAGTAAAGATGTTAATAAATAATTAGATTAGCTCTCGCTACGTTTAAATAACAACCTAAATTTATATGAGTATGTAACGTATTACATGCGCACCTTTTCAATTATTTTTTATCAAATACTAATAAGTACATAAAACAAGTACATATTATTAATTAATAGACAGGAAACCGAACTCTGGATTAACGATGACTCTTTGATTATATATATTTGTCGAGATGGAGCAATACTTAACAAAAGACGCGCTAAAACTGTCTCAGATTGCGTGATGTGTGCCGCACGTGTACTTATTGTAAAAAAAGCTGTCAAGGTGTGCGTGTTTAGGGATGCCGGCTCCAAATTATTAACCTAAGTTTTCCCCATTATTTAATAAGGTCAAAGTTAAACACAATAGGTTGAATAAAGTTATTATTTTGTAGATTTGTAGTTGTGAAGTAGTAACGAAAAAAAATACAGTAGTTTATATATGAAGATTTGTTTCTAAAATGTGCTGTGTAATCGCTCTCCAGCGAATTGTAAGCACGGACTCTATAGGCAAACTGAAACCCAGAATTAAACGAAAGAACTAACAAACATACTATATAGTGCATGACTTCATGGGTTTCATTTAATTTGTGTAGGAAAATTATCTTCACTGATGGAATAAATGATTTAATTTTAAAAATAATAATGGTCTGATCAAAATATGATATAATGATATTTGTATTTTGTTTCCCAGTTTCCCCAAAACTTCTTTGTAATAAACTGATAACACTGGCTAGCCAGACTAACATTCAAAATAAAGAATAAAAAAAACGTGTTTTCTTACATTAAGTGGTTAAATAACAAAATTCATAGATTAAAAGTGATATTGGTATTATTATACGATTTTCCCCACGATTTGATAGCATAAACCGGCATAATTTATATATCGTGAGCACGTTATCCCTTATCTTGTATCTTGTATTAACTGATGCTTTTGCTTTCAGTCCCGAGACTATTAAAGCTTCATCTGACGCAGAACCGGTGGGCTAGCCAGAACCCACGGGTTTGGGCCCTCCGCTGTGGGTAGGGCCACGCATGTGCTCATGCGTGCGTTTAACTATGGTGTGTCATCTAAGGGCCATCGAGGTCGTGGTTCGGACTGAAACCCCGATGGCTGTCGACTGTGCAAGTAGCTAATCGGTGGCTGGGGGCGGTGAGAACCGCCCCGGAACGCGGGTGTACCTTGTGTACGCGTTGTGTTGGTCTCGCCGTGCTCGGAGGCGAGGGCGAACTAGTGTGTTTGTTGTTGCACTAACTGTGGGTGTAGTGTTGTCCGGCGGGACCCCCGGCAGTGGGTCCGGACGTTATCCCTTAGTGATTAAAACGACACTGACTTAAGTGAAACGCGAGTTTACCAATTTTAGTAGAATTTTTCCGCGCCGTTCGGTACGGCTAATGGGTTTTCTAGACAAGTATACAAATCAAAAAGATAACTGTACTGGCTACGAAATTTGTATCTGAACTTGTTCCGCCCCGTATTAAATTTATTTACTGCCACTTTCTTTCTAAACCTACATAAATAAATTAATAAGAAAATTATTGAAGTATATTAATAAATCGAAGATATATCCATTATGTACATGATACGAGGTCCGCATAATATTCCTAAATTTAGAGTCGTACTTGGTACATTTTTTAAAGACACACGAGGGTATTACTATTATTATTGTAAAATTTTTGACAGCGGGTCTTACTCGCCGCCCTGCCTAACTGACGTGTACTAAAGACAGACTTCCCAAGTGGGACGTTTTTTTAAAATAATATTGGTGAAATTCTTGCTGTGCCTCACTACATAGTATAAAACAAGGACGTCCCGCTGTCTGTCAGTCCCTATGTACTTAGATCTTTAAAACTACGCAACGGATCATGATGCGGTTTTTTTACTAAATAGAGTGATTCAAGAGGAAGGTTTATATGTATAAAACATTGCACCCGTGCGAAGCCGGGGCGGGTTGCTAGTAATATTATATTACACTGACTTATATCTGCAACTTAATCTCGATAGATAATAAGTAACATCCAGTTTTAAATTTCGCCAGTGGTTTTCTATATCTTACGGCTCCAGCGATTTTCGAGAAATTTAGTATGTACATACATTCGGGGGTGAAAAATCGATCTAGCTAGGTTTCATTTTTAGAAACCATCCTTTTATCCCTGTTTTCAGGGAATGAAAAATATCATTCGAATATGACGGTAAATTTCGCCGCAAACAAAAATGTTATAATAGCTCGGTCGGTAATCGGGAGGCCTCAAAACAGACGGCCGCGGTTCGTATCACGATCATTTACACACTTATTTTTTTTACTTTTTTTTCTATACCAGATCATTGCTTTCTTTATTTTTTATTTTTTGTCGATCCAGATGATTTTGTTATTTTTTCCCTTTTTTTAAAATTCCTTCTTTTGTGAAAAACACCAGCTCATATTTTCTTATTATTACGTAGGTAAGATCGAATAGGCGAGATGGACTGACGACCTGTCCTAAGTCGCGGGACTTCGCTGGATGCAGGCCGCTTCAAACAGATCGAATTGGAAATCC